AAGTCCTGCACCTGCCACGAAAACTGCACTTCAACATCCACAAAGTCCTGCACCTGTCCACAAAGTACGGCGCCTGCCACGAAACACGAAAAACAAAATCCAAACAAACACAAGAAAAAAGACTAAATTGCATCCGAGCCCCATTAACACTTCCAACATTGCTCAGCGCCTGAAATTTGGCGCCAAATGTCCTGGCCCGTGCGTTTGAGCCTGTAGCTTTTCCAAGATGCTAAAGCCACAGCTATGGTTTGTTGAGAAGTTGTCAAGTTTTCATTAAAATATAATGGGCCACAAACTGTCCTCCTTGATTGCTGGGACACTCTTGTTACTCAGCAAAGTTTCAAGGTTTCTGCACGAATCCGCGAAACTGGAATGCTCTCTTTCTTTGAGGACATAGTATTTTTTTTTGCCCCAAGAAAATTGATCCACCAGGTCGATGAACAATGTTTTTGCACATGAACCGACCAGAACCTGTTTGATTGCAGTTTATAATCTTTGGCAGTCTCTTCAAGAGACACAATGAAACAAATCATCCGTTGCAATTCCCAGTGCTTGGGTCACAGCCGTCATAGCTGGGAGCCCCTCTCACCGTCCTGTTTCTTTGTACAGCGTGGTTGCGTCCCTGGATGCTTGGGTCATAGCTGAGAGCTCCCTCCTCCTCGTGTTCATGCAGGTGTTGCGTTTCTAGCTTTATGTACGCGGCAGGGCGGCAGTGGACCACCATCAGCACTCACTTCCCAACGAAGACAGTGGTGGTAGGGTCATGATATCAGAAGGGATGCCTTCTAGACTTCTAGACCTGCATTTAAAATCATTTAAATGCGTTGCTACGGCGACTGGACCAAGCCACTAAGCCGAGAACCCAGCATGCGGACGTGTTGTGAACTGTTTTGTTTAAGTTCTTGAGTCAGTATGCATAGAAACCCTTCCGCTTCTCTTCACCGACTGTTTTGAGTCTTGAGCACGGCACGACTTTAACACTTACCTGGCCTCTTAGGTTCTTTTTTTGCCGACTTTTCCTGCTTTGCGGCATTCAGCCAGTACGTAGAGGTGGTTCAGGGAACACTGGTTTGCTGCCGTTTATTTTTGCATATTTCACTGCAGTCCGTGCGTCATGCCATTGCGTCGCCATGCTCACTTCCAAACATTCGGTTTATTGTCTTGGTTCGCGCAAGCCTTCTGTCCCCCAATTTCTAGGATTGCCCTTGCTTGTTCCGGGGGGCCAGGCTAACTAGATTCAGACTGTTTAGCGCAGAGTTTCCCCAGCCTTTAATTTGTACTCGTTTTAAAATTTGGACTTGGCTGGGGTTTAATTCTCTAGTCTATACGCTTCATTCATTTCACGTTCCCCTTCACGAACGGGGGGTGTTTGCTTGTCAATCAAAGCTGTCCGTTTTGCAAGGACCTTGCCGGGAGATGCTCGGGAAATTTAGTTCCTGCATTTGTCAAAATCGATCTGCCGGCCTGACTGCAAAATGTTCCTTGTGTGGTAGCAATGATGGCCCCCAAATCTTTCAACAATTCACGTTCGATGAGGAATGGAGCACGACCTTCAACAATGGCAATTCTAAATGACAAGATTGTTTTGCACTGTTGCAGTTGTTATTTGCCTCTTTGTTTGAAAATGTGGCCTTTCTTGTTGGCTTCGAAGTGTATGTATACGTAGGCATGTATTCATACACTTGTTTCTTTAGACATCACAAGGGCGGGGCGCACACACACAAATCCCAACGCTGGCGTTTTGGGGAGCCTGCTGCAGTTGTATTTTGTGGGTAACGGTGGCGGCAGGCAATACGGTGGATGCATCTATTGGAGAGCGGGTGGCCAATCTTCAAAATATTTTCCTTGGAAGCTTGGCACAATGATTTGGCAATTTTATATTCAAAAGTCATTGGGCCAAGGTAACGCATGCTGCGCTTGGCGCTCAGAATTGTCAAGGTTGCAAGAAACGGATTTGCATTCTGGATGTCAGGTGCGTCATGAAGAACCAGCAGGATTGTTCACCACGCTGTACAAAGGCCTATCCAGGGCTTTTGCATGCAAATCCATCGCGTTAGTAGCCTCCCTGGCCTGTAGTTGTAAAGTTCCATGTTTTGAGATTCTGTCTTCTGGCTGGGCGATGCGAGTATTTTTGTTGCGCAGGATCGAATCAACTACCTCATGCTTATGGTAGAAAACAAGGTGGGCATAAACAAACCCAGGCCGCAGCAGGAACAGAAGGTGCTGAGGCCATTCTATTCAAAGGTTCTGGCAGGCATTGACAAAGTCCAGGTACTGATTGAATGCACTACAAGAAGAAGTGCTAAATGCTTCGAATCTTGCCAATGTCAGACCTTGATGCTTCATATTGTTGGACCTTACCACCCTGACACTCCGGAAAGGATAAAGGGAGAAGGTCCTTCATAAAGAAGAAACCTTTGTTGAGTTTTGTTTAGTCATGTTGTGTACCACATACCCAAACTCATCAACATCATTGACACAGAAAACAGAAAGAACTTAGGAATGCATTCCAAGGTCCAGGAGAACCACTACTTGTTCACAATTCTTTTCCACTCAGTATGTCAAGGTTGCATTTGTTGTTTCATGCTTTCGTTCCAGAAGACGGACGAGATGTTGAGGGACAGCGTGATGAGCATGTGCCAGGTCAGTGAAGCAAGTGAGCAATATGGTAACCATATGGGCCCCCACCTCAGGAGGAACCCAGCGCCACTCCATCCAGACAGCACACCAAATCCAAGCATTTGCACATCCAGCCAACTCGCAGAACAAATGGATATATATATATATATGTGCTTATATTATATAATGTAAAAAACATATTGAAGGATTCCACCCTTACAACGTTGCATGGCTGATTTGTTCGAGCAAATGCGCTTCACACACGCTGCCTTGCGAATGTTTGTGTAACGCCGGTTCAGCGCTCATGCTTTTGAATCGCGACGTTTGGCTCAACAGCTCGCGCCAGCCGCTGGCCACCAGCTTCCGCTG